ATTTTTATTTATATCATTCATGGGATTTGTCCTGTTGTCTTTGACTATTACTATATCCACTCTTCTTCCAGCCATGTAAGGATTAATGGAAAGTAAATAAATGAATGAATGTCTGTTTTAGTCATGATGTAATGTAGCACCTACACCATGTTTGTAATGTTTCCTGATGAATTATTTCTAGGTTTTGAGACGATATGTAATACTCTTACAGGGCTATGGTATGGGCAGGAAGAGTTGGGTTATCCTGTACTACTGATTCTGCTAGAATGCTGTACGATAAAGTTCTGTGCAGCAAACATTTCTCTGAAAGTGATTTCACTACAGCTGAAAGGGTACACCTTAACAGATGTGCAGTTCCATATGGCACAGATTCTGCTGCACAGTCACTCCCACAACCTCCTGATACTTCATTACACACACCTTCCTTTGATACCTTGCCTTCAGATTTATCTCCTGTACATGATCTTAAAGTCCTACCGCCCACCAGAACCTACAGCAAGACACTTGTGCCCTCTGCTGTAGCACCTGTTCCTATTCATGCAGACAGTCCTTCCACTTCCTTTCAAATGTCTGCAATCCAATCCTCACCAACAGCAGGCAACACTTCTTCAGTGAAAGAAACCTCCTATCTCTTAGGCTCTGGAAATATATATGCTTCTGATGGGGCACTCGGGCATATCAGTTGTCAAAGTTCCTCCTCAAAGCCGAGAGCAAGGCGTTCTCTGCTGAAAGAACTTAATTTGGCTTCGCTTTCTGAATTGACACCGAAGAAAAGGAAATTATATGCACAAATTCGGAATAAGGAGAGTGCACTCTGCAAACTGAAAAAGAAATACAAAGGAAAGAAGTTGGAAAATCTCTGTGATGTGGACAGTGATCCACTCATGGAGAGACTTTCATCTTCTCTCAGTGTAGAGGCTGCTAGATTATTGGCAGCAATTATTAGGAATAGCAGGCAAAGACCTCAGGGAAGGAGGTGGGATTTCAAAGAGAAAGTGTTGGCTCTCTCTCCACTTAAGCATAGTCCCAAATCCTATATTCTTCTCCGCACACTACTCCCCCTCCCATCCAGACGATCCTTGCAGTCTCTCCTCAGTACTGTTCCATTTAGGACAGGCATCAATGCTCGTGTGTTTCATGCACTCGAACAGTCTCTGCAGAAAATGTCTGGTGAAGATCGATATTGTTGTCTCATGTTTGATGAAATGTCAATCAGAGAGAACTTGCATTTCAATCAGAAGTTTGACTGCATTGAGGGTTTTGAGGATTGTGGAAGTCAGGGCAGGACTTGCAGCATTGCAAATCATGCTCTGCTCTTCATGATCCGTGGAAGCAGCCCGTGGCTTACTACTTCACTCGTGGAAGCACAAAGGCAGAGATGGTTGTGCAATACTTGAAGGAGGTTCTTGACGCCTGTCAGAATGCTGGCCTGAAGGTGGTTGCCACTGTGTGTGACATGGGTGCCAACAATGTCAAGGCCTTGAAACTGTTGGGTGCTTCCAAAAGGAAACCATTCTTCAGATTTCACAATCAAGAAACTGCAACAGTGTATGATCCACCCCACCTTCTGAAGTGCACCCGGAACCTTTTCCTGAAACATGATGTGCAGTTGAAGTCTGAACATGTGAGCACCCAACTTCCTGTTATTGCTAAGTAGGACCACATATTGAAACTGTATGAAATCGACAAAACCAGACCGTTTCACCTGTTGTATAGGCTGACAGGACACCCACCTGAACCCCACAGCACAGAGCTCAGTGAATGTGCGCTTGGCTGCACAGGTCATGAGCCATACCTACTTTGAACTTGAGCTGTATCTCTTTCCTGCTTTGCAAACATGTTGTAGTGAATGATAACATGGTCAACCACAGTTTGATTACATACAAGAAACTATTTTGAACTTGAGCTCCAAATCTTCGCCTCTGTGCAAACATGTTTCCTTCGTCTCAGAATATTAGAACTTCACTGTGTTACGAGTTCATTCTGGCCTTTATCTTCAAGAAATTATATTTCAATCGAGTGTATGGAAAATTGTTTTCTGACACACATGGGTCTTCTTTATGTGCAGGTAAGAATGAAGAGGCATTACTTCATAATTGACTTGCAAAGTTCAGGTTAGAAGCAGAATTAGTATCAGGATTGAATGTGGGTAGGACTATTTATGTAATTTCTCTACCTATTTCATTTTCATTACATTGTTATTCACTTCTGTTGTTATAGGTGTGTATTCCTTCTCTTGCTTTTGCCATATAATGCTACCTGTACGTACTGGACTGGTGAACATGAACATAAGATTTTCAATACTAACTGCATTTCTTTAACATATATTATTAATATATATGAGACAAACACCGTCTTAAGTGTAACAATTTAATTGTAGTTCTTTTTTCTTTCCCTCCTCCACAATACTTGTTTCGGCCCTAAATGGCCATCATCAGGTGTGTATTCTTACGTAGCTGTTACACTGCCTGTTAAAATTTAAAATCACCAGTCTTTCTAATTGTATAAAATCTTTGTTAACCTACACGCGTTAATTTGATTTCTAAATTTAGCACTTTTTAAAACTTTAATTCAAGTTAAAATGTCTATAAGATTTTTGTTCTTTTTCTTTTTCAAATTTTGAAATTAAAATTTTCTCAGGGTACATCCCTATGTCTATAGAGCTGCAGCGGCCACTTCTTGTTTAATGCTG